TTACAGCTGAACAAAGTATTTGGTACGAGTGAGTTAAATTCAGAAAACAAGACAATTATATTTTAAAAAATAACCATTACAGTCGATACTTTTTATAAAGTAAGAAAAACCTAACAATGTCTTACAATATACAACTGATAATATGAAATATATTTTGTGTACACATACAGAATATTTAGATGGATTTTTTATTCATGATTTGTTCATCAAAATGTATTGTAACATAGTTCCGAAACCTATCTGTAGACCTACTTAATCTGCTTTAATAAGTAGGTCTAATCAATTCCAAAATTCACTGCCCACAAAAGACAATGAAAATTGACCCTTTGTCGATCTAGAGTTTGGAAAACGTAATTGGCCAAATTCTTTTTGTTCTGTGGCGTAGCTATGCTTTATAATGTTACAGTACTCTTAGACTATTGAAATATAAGGGAAATTGCCTTCAAACAGATCAAACATGAAAGTAGAAAAGGATGAATGGTGCAAATTATAGACGTTAAGGATTCGCAATCTTTTAAATAGTGGAGTTGTAAGAGTTTTCCACTCACTAACTATTATGGCACGAACTGTCAGTTTTGGTGAATACTATATACTTTTTAAAGTATTCTAGTGTTTCCCCCACATCTCTATCTCCTAAGAAAAGTGCGGTTGTATAAACCTTTCTAAAATAATATCAAAGTACGCCTAAGATCAAAATGTCGTAATCGAACTTTTAACCTTCATTCTAATCCACTGATTTACAAATTGAATATGACTATTCCAAATTACCCCCCCCCCCCCCCCCAAGTTGCAACATATAAATTGAAAATCCTAAGGTGAGTGATAAAACACATATATACACTATCTTTATTCGAGACACCACTTAAATAACCGGGTTATTTACATTTGGAAGTTTCGAGTGTTTATGGCCCGGTCATTTTTATTACGTCAAAGAGGTCAAGTTGAACATTTGAGAGATAAAGCTCCTTGCACTGATGAGATGATAAGTTTAATTTCTCAAACACTGAGGCCCTAATTTACAAAGGAGGTTTGTCGACAAACCTTGGTTTTCGTGCGTCATATGACGCGTTTCGACGCGTTTTTACAAACCAGGTTTGTAAAAAAACGCGTAAAAACGCGAAAACCAAGATTTGTCGACAAACCTCTTTTGTGAATTCGGGCCTGAGAGTGGACTTTCCTTCTACGATTGAAAGGGGTTGCATAATGCATAAATCCTCCAGCGACCTTCCGTCGAGATGGTTTCCCGGTTGGGCCATCGAAATTTGCTGGTTGCAATATTGAGATTTGTACTCATACATATTGGCAATTTCAAGTCCGGTCTAAGCGAATTATGACGCAATAAGAAACGACTCAAAGGAGACGACCAACAGTACGTCTACGAGTCTCCAAAAAATATATCAATGAGGGTCATTAATAACCAATGTATTTTCGTCATCTAGTCATTCAAACTTGTACTTCATAAAAGCGTCGATTAGAATGTAGTAAATAAATGCAGTGCGGCCGTAATTGTTCTTTGCACGTGAAATCCATTTATGACAATTGAGTAATCAGGTAAAAGTTGACTTTCATTCGGTAGAATCGTTCGTGTATAATATGTTTTGAAATGAAAAATAACTTACTGAGCGAGCTGTCTACCGTAGTCGGGCAGTTGAAGGGTCATATCTTTGCCCAAATTTTGGTCAAAATACGACACAATTATGCACGTGTGAAGTAGGGTACTACGTTTACCAATACCACTTGGCAAAATATTGCCCAAAAGATGGTTGGGTTGACTATTGGCACAACGTTGGGAAAAATGTTGGAAAATATTGCCCAACCTTTTCACAGTGTATCGAAAGATTGCGTTGCCGTGGGGCGGGTGTGGTGCGTTCAGCGCACCCTTTCAAGAAAAGCCCCCCCCCCCCCCCCCCCCCCCCCCGCTTGTCTCGAAAGGGTGGGTTAAGAATGGGGTACCGTCTTAAAGATACTATGTCCCTTTGCAGCCAACCTCAGATTCTGTTGAACTTTGCAGGAATTATGAATATGTTATGTATGTCCTATCTGTAAAATTTAAACTTTAGCAGTGTCCTAATATTCAAATTATGCAAGGAAACCCGTTAACTTGCTAAACTTCACTGTCAGACACTATTGAGTGGCTGACTAGCTTTTTTCTTCTTTGGTAATAAGATACATCAAATGAGCTGTAAAGGATTTGTCTACATCAATAACCTACTTCTTTTAATAGCCAAAATTAAACTGATTGAATCTTTGCGAAGCATAAAACGTACGAACATGCGGTACAATGGTCTGAAAATCAAGACAATTACTTATTGGCTCTATAGCTCCTAAGTCGATTTGGCAACTAATAGTCGTTTTTTTCCAACTTGAATACATTTTCAAGCCCCCTTTTTTAAAGGGGAGTTCTAAATTAGTATTATCTTTCAAATGCCATTGAAATTTTACCTTTTCATTTTTGGGGCCTGCAAATGGGACATAGTACCTTTAACGCACCCTTTCGGGAGAAGCGGGGGGGGGGGGGTCTTTTCTCGAAAGGGTGCGTTAACTAGTCAAAATAGAAACAGATTGAAATTTTAAATAAAATTGCTTTTAAGTTGTCTTGCAGATCAGGCTGTAAGAATTAAATCAATAAATAACATGAAATTTGAAAATGAATTATTTGATTTTTATTAAAAATTGTCAAATTTCGTGAGTTTGTGAAATTTAGATCAAATGAATATTAATGCTTCAATAATGAAAATACTAGTCATCTAAAAACCATATAATTGCTGATTCTTCTCGAGTTTTTTCGAGACACTGTCGTTACTGCACTTTTTTTTATAATCAATTAGCAGTAATAATAAATGGTTTCCCGATCAATTATTTAATTTTAATTTGTACATTACAAACAATGCATCCTTTCGCTGCACTGTGGCTCGAATAAAGACCGTAGGGAGTTATTGTTTATGTTGCCTTTTAAGCCTTTGTTAGGATTGACAACACAATGTCGGGATGTAATCCATCATCCTACCTAACGCTTAATTTTTTTTCTTCAGTCATTTGGTGATTGATAGCAGTACATAAGTTGGCTAATTGCCAGGCTCCCATTTTCTTGCTGCTGTAACATGGGCTGATTGGGTCACTAACATATTGTGTTGTGGTTTACAGTGATCAAGTTTTTAATGACGTGTCTCGAGCATGGGTTCACAGAAAAATACTAGCTTTCAATATTCTCCGACTCTGTATTTCAATGGTTGTGATATTTGCAAAAGTTAAAGTTTAAGTATAAGTTGTGTTTCACATTTTACAAAACATAATTTCATATATAGACATACATATGAAATAGAAATTATATATATATACATGTAGTATTAGCACGTCTCAACGATACTCAATTTATATGATAGATTAAGTAGAATGTGAAGAGCCTGTGGAAAAGCAATGCTTGTATATTGTAGGCTCCTAGTAAAATAAATATACACTGTAGATGTAAAAACCGTTGCAGTAGAGAGAGATGTAATTTAGAGGGGGGGGGGTTATAAAACACAATGTAATAAGGAAATTTGGATACAAATGCATCAGCATCCATATCCAGAGTCACCCGGTTAACAACGTAATCTTCCGAGCAATTTAGTTAGCAAAGCACCGTTGAACGAGATGTCAAGTGTATCTATACAGTCATTTTTTCAAGAATATAATTTAATAACTGGAACATGCGTCATTAATTAACAATTAAGATTAGCATTGGAGGAAAAGGGTAACAAGGACTGGGGAGGACAAACAAATTATATTAGACATAAGAATTTAAAAGGAAGACTCGAAGTTTGAGTCTAAAGCAATGTAATGATTTACGTCTAATAAGAAGGGGAAAGGTTGCTCTTGGTCCCTTAAAATTGGGGGCAGATGTTATGGGAAAAGAAAGAGGGCACTTATGAGAAGAGAAAAGGACACTTTAAGAAAAGAAAACTAGTATGTCATAATGAAAAGCGCTATTATCTATGGTGAAAATTTGACACCCTCGCACCTGAACGGGGGCACTCACTAGAGCTGAAAATGGCCTTAATGAGAATGAAGAAGGGCCATTTGTCGAAAGAAAAGGGGCACCTATCAGATTTTGTAGGGAGTGGCTCTTATAAAAAAGTAAAGGGGGCACTAATCAGTAGGAAAAAGGGATACTTATTAGAAAGGAAAATGGGCATTTTTTATAAAATAAAAGAGGCATTTGTTGAAGGAAAAGGCACACCTATTAGTAGGAAAAAAAGGATACTTATTACAAAGGAAAAGGGGCACGTGTAAAACTAAAAAGGGCAGTTATCACAGGTTAAAAGGGTCATTTATGAGAACGGAAAATGAGCATTTATTATGAAAGAAAAGGGGCATTTGTTAAAGGAAAAGTTGCACCTCTCAAATTTTATTTTGGGCATTTATCAGGGTAAAAAAGCAGCATTTATGAGGGAAAGAGGCTCTTACAAAAATAGAGTAGGGGCACTTGTTAAAGTAAAACTGGTTCCTCTCAGAGTTTAATAGGAGCAATTACCAGTGGTGAAGGGGGCCCTTATCAGAAGAGTAAAGGGGCACTTCTCGTACCTGAAAAGGGGCACTTATGAGAGTAGAAAAGGGACACTTTATTGCAAAGAAAAGGGGGCAGTTGTAAAAGGAAAATGGGCGCCTCTCAGATTTATTTGAGTGGGGCAGTTATGAGAGGTAAAGGGGAGCACTTATCAGAGGTTCAAATGGGTATTTATAAGAATGTTGAACGGGCACTTTTTGGAAAGAAAAGTATACACTTTTCTGAAGTAAAGAGAGGCAATTTTCGGGGTTATGGAAAAATGGGAGCGGGGACTGTGCCCCACTGCCCCCCCCCCCCCCTCCCCCCGAGTGCCGCCTCTGTAAATTTACCTTTCAGGTAAGTAATTCATGGGCGCGTGCACATATTGTACCATTAAGCTAATCCTCGTCTACGTGCGTGCGTGCGTGTTTTTCTGGCGCCTTATAGGGAGCTCGTTATTCTGTCATTAGTTCATATGACTGACCGATATCGGTTCTATTCTCTGCACATACCCCAGGTCGCCATGATGTTGGTAAGTAAACAAAAAGTTGTTTTGTAAGAATGATAATCATGATAATGATACTGACCAAATAGACGATATTGTGAATGGCTATTTTCTTTGCATATAATTAACATAACTCGTATTACACCCCGATCACACATCGCTGCGACCTTACGAAGACCATGCCGACCACCCCGATCTGAAAAAAAATATCAAATCGGGGCACTACCGCCGTCAAAATCCAGCAATTTAGCAAATTTATAACTACATCACGACTATACTGCGATGCTTTTACGTCAAATGCGCTGCTGACTCGCTGCCACTACGATTACATGCCGACCAAGTGGTCGTTTCTACTATGTTGTTGCTACGGCGTACAGGACCATTCTACGTTGTTATACAGACATAGTAGATTGCAGTACGATGTCACTGCGTTGATGCTGACCATATTACGCTTCTAGTACGCTTCTACTACGATTTGTGGCGATTTCTATATAAATCGGGGGGTGTTCAAGCATTTCTTCAGTTCTTTCCCAACCTGAAGATGAACGGCCTAAAGCGGCTCGAAATAGTTGCAGACGGTGATGCGCTTTTATTACGAGATTTTTACACAGACATCTCACCTTGATGCTACCACGCTGCTTGTACGATAATGGTGTTCCCACTACGTTCTTACGAAGACTTTGCCTTGCCTATTTTCGGCCACGAACCGGCTACGCTTATTTTGTGCACGTTCAAAAATAAGCGCGGGGAGAGCATGCAGCCTCCCGTCCAAGGAGATCCTCCCACGTTTGGCCAACGATTGGCCCCGATTGGCCACGCTCTCGGCCACTTTTCCATCGTAATAGAAGCGGCGGATATGTGTGACTTATTTGTTTAATATGCTTTATAGAGTATGAAGGGGTGACCAAAGTTCGCGGACATTTTAGAACATATTACAAAATGTGATATTCGATCTATGATTTCTCACATTCTACACAACTTTATTTCTTTAAATTATTACCAAATGGACGGCAAAGTTTTTCACTACAGATTGGTTCAACTAGAAAAATTTACCGTCGAAGGATTTCGGAGATATCGCGATCTAAAAATTCGATGTCCGATCGTGCGCGCGCGCTGCATCTAAAAAAGTCATAAAAACAATGAGACCTAACTTCACGCACGGTGGTTTACAGTTGATTTATCAAAAAATGCGATCCATCAAAAATAAGGTAATATCATAATTTGCAAGGCAAGATATCGTACAATCAGTTCGTACCACTCTTTACTTACAATTTTGAGGATTTCTGCTCTCAAAATGAAAATTTCCAGACCCTTATCGGTAAGTTGATAATTTTTTCGGAACGGACGCAAATAACTGCAAAATTTGCCGATCTTTTGTCAATATTTTCACAATTTCGCAACCAATTCTAAAGAAAATTTCGTTTCTGGGTAATTTTAAGACCCTCTTTCCATTGGTGATATCAGATTTTCGAAATCTTACCGATTTTTTGAGAAAGCGAACTTTGGTCACGCGCGAACTTTGGTCACACCGCCATACTGTTTATTTTTTCTTCAAAAGGTAATTACACGGTGCAAGTAAAACGTTCTTTTGAATAGGCATTAAACATGAAGCTCATTATGTCATCACTAACCTTTTTTAACCACCCTTTTCAATATCAATTAGCAGTGCTCTATTAATACATTTCAATTATTCTAAATTATTTTAAAATAATGTTAATGTTAATGTTAAACCCACCCGAAGATCTAATTACGTTGATGTTTGTTCACCATTTTGATGGATGTATTGATCATGAAAAATTCCAACGTTTCGATTATTATTTAAAAATCTATTTTTAGTTGGACGTATAGTTCGCATATAATGAGCAATTGTTGATTGTATCTTATCTTGATATAAACACATAACTTATTTAGGGATAGAACATCTATCTATATTAATATCTTGAAATCTTGATACTAATTTCCAAAATGCAAATAAAAGGGGACGTCGAATAATTGTTTTGGACGGATAAACTAATCGTGTCAGCATTGAGGAATGCGGTGTGCCTCAACGGTTGGTTGCCGGGCCACTACTCTATGTGTATACAGCGCTCCTGACATCGTTGCTTCCCATGGACTGGTCGATGTTATACTTACGACACGAAAATATAAATTTCACTTATTCTCAATGTGATCAGCATGCAGCCATTCTAAAAGTTAATAACTATCTGAGGGACAGTCATGGGTTCGTAGTAACAAATTAAAGATCAATTTTTCGTCCAAGTTTCACGTGTCCTGCTTCTGTATGAAACGGTTGATGGTTGAAATATTCCAGAGACATCAACGGCGAAGGATGCGGATGTGTACAAGATATAATTATGGATCAATATTATATATCATTTCAAAATTAATTGTCGTTCTGCAATGTTTACAATCAAAAAATATATAGGGCAAATAAATGTTTTTCTCCGATATGGACACTATTGAGAGATTGTATTAATGTTCTCTTCTTCGGCTTACCCGTGAAAATAACCCCCCTCCCCCTCCCCCACAAAAAGTGCAGAATCGTAGTGCGAGACATGTAGAACGTGCAAGAGGGAGGAATGCTGAAACACCAGTCACGCCTTTACTGGTTACACATAGAAGAAACAAATTATTATTTGTAAAATTCTAATGTTATGTCACATAAGTCATTATTATAAGATGATGAAGCGGATCCTAAGAGCGTACACGTGACCAGGGGGGTGTTTCACAAAGATCCTAAGTGGAACTTATCTCTAAGTTGGACTTAACAATTATGGAAAGCCGTTGGCATCTATGAAAATATTTAGTAAAAGTTATTTTAAAAGGCAAAAAAATGTTGATTCAAATCATTAATATTTTCTATTACCAACAGGCATTTCATCTTCTTGATGTGGAATTTATAAAAAATCTAAAATACTTGAATTTTCACTTTTGAATATATTTTATTTTAAGGCTACAAATGGCTCTCCATAATATTTAAGTCTAACTTAGAGTTAAGTTCAACTTAGGATCTTTGTGAAACACCCCCCAGGTATACGTAATTTTACTATTGACCGGTAAGTAGTAATTACTCATGTCCGATCATTAATAAAATCATGTCTTAAAACATCATTTCATAAAACAACATCTTATTCAACAAATGATACACATCATTTTGTTCGGGCAGAAGTAAAATTACCCACACTCGGTACCTTCGAAACAGTCCAAACACCCTCGGCTATCGCCTCGGGCGTGTTATAGACTGTTCCATTAAGGTACCTTGTGTAGATAATTCTTTTTATATACCTCATACATAGATTGTCATTCACTGATTGGTCAAGACTATATCACATGTCAAGGAGCATTTCGATCTATCAAGTATCATTACGTCAGAGGGGTTGATAGCTACTATCAAACCCTGGGATAGGCCAGGGGGGTGTTTCACAAAGATCCAAAGTAGAACTTAACTCTAAGTTGGACTTAAAAATTATGGACAGCCATTGGAGTCTTAAAATGAAGTATATTCAAAAGCAGAAATTCAAGTATTTTCGACTTTTTATAAATTCCACATCCAGAACATGAAATCTCCTTGATGATAGAAAATATGAATGATTTGAATAAACAATTAATGCCTTTCAAAATAACTTTTACCAAATATTTTCAAAGATGCTAATGGCTTTCCATATTTTTTAAGTCCAACTTAGAGATAAGTTCAACTTAGGATCTTTGTGAAACACTCCCCGGGACCCCTAACCCCTCCCGCGACTTAGTTGCGCACACAAATTTTTTGAGTTGCTAGGCTACCGCAATCGCGCGGTTACGCGCAGCGCGTAGGAATTCAATACTCTTGCCTTGGACTTGATGTTGTATTTTTCTTATTTGGGTTAGTAAATTCCTCTTGATCTCGTTTCCTATTTTTAGAGCTAGATCTAGACCTACAGCTAGACCTAATCATGAATCAATAAAAAGGATGAGGTATATAAAACAAATATGGACTGCTCTGTAATCGGATGATGGTGGGAACTACCACTCCCTCGGTGGTGTTCACACCGGCCCTTCTATCACCCCCTCGGCTTGGCCTCGGGGTGATAGAAGGGCCGGTGTAAACACCACCTTGGGAGTGATAGTATAGTATTAATGACTGCTTTGAGAGAAATAGTTGTTTTATTACGCTCAAGGGAAGGTTAGAATTGTGCTATTCCCCGAGGCTTGCCGAGGGGAATAGCCCAATTCTAACCTTCCCGAGAGCGTATGAAAACAACTATTTCTCGAATATTAAAGCAGTCATTAATACTTTTATATGCCGAAAAAAAATAGACTAAAAAATGAAAAATGAAAAATATTTATCATTTTTGTCGAAGACGGGATTCGAACTCTTGCGTACAACAAGAGGTGTACCGAAAACCAACGCTTAGACCACTCGGCTATGGCCCGCCGTTAACATGCTTGGCAGTTTTCTCCAATTATATACATTAAAATGGATTGAAACCGGCTTCGCGTGTGATGAATGCTTCGCAAAAGCTCCATATACGGACTCTTCTTTTACTTTTGCAATGCATATTGGCACGAACTTAGATCAAGATCTATCGGCAGATGTTGTTTTTTTGTTTTTGGAAGTTTATTTTCGTCTTCATGTCAACAATGCAAGATAAAATTGTCGGTAAGATCGATCGAGATTCAATTGTATTGAAATTACCGACCAATCCTTCGCACACATAGTTTTTACGGCATCCTCCATCGCTCAAACCATTTTTTAACATGTAAACCTATGGGGTAACCATGGACGCTGACCAACTTTTTTTAATAACCATGGTTATTAAAAATATTGAAATGTTTTATGCATGGTTACCGAGAATTTTACAGGAACAGTTGAAGTTTATGAATGCAATTCGACCAATCAGATGGCTGGATTTCTTAAGTGAGGTATATAATTCCCACCATCATCCTCATGAGCAGTCAATATTTGTATATTATATACCTCACTTAAGTAATCCAGCAATCTGATTGGTCGAAATTGCATTCATAAACTTTAACTGTTCCCGAAAATTCCCGGTAACCATGGTTAAAAAACAGTTCAAAATCGGTCAGTCTCCATGGTTACCCCATAGGTTTACATGTTAAAAAATGGTGAGCGATCGAGGATACCGTACGTGTGCGAAGAATTGGTCGGTAATTTCAATACAATTGAATCTCGATCGATCTTACCGACAATTTTATCTTGCATTGTTGACATGAAGACGAAAATAAACTTCCAAAAACAAAAAAAACAACATCTGCCGATAGATCTTGATCTAAGTTCGTGCCAATATGCATTGCAAAAGTAAAAGAAGGGCCCGTTTAATGGAGCAGCGGCGAAGCATCGACCACGCGAAGCCGTTTTCAATTCATTTTAATGTATATATTAAAAAAAACTGCTGTTTATGGTGATATAGCGCGCTGGCCGAGTGGTTTGAGGCCCTGACTTCCGTAAAATCACCTTAGGTACGCAAGAGTACCAATCCCATCTTAGACAAAAGTTTTTTTTTTTTTTCTTTTTTTTTTCTTTTTTTTTCGGCATATAAAAGTATTAATGACTGCTTTAATATTCGAGAAATAGTTGTTTTTATACGCTCTCGGGAAGGTTACAATTGGGCTATTCCCCTCGGCGTTCTCTCAAAGCAGTCATCAATAATACCACTTCACTTTCTAGACTTCATACTTCTCGTTATATTAGCCTCATCTTAGCTTTTTATTTTCAGATCCTCACACTTCGTATTGTTTTATATGGCCTGTGGTATACCCACTACCCTCGAAATATTTCGCTTGTTTATCATAGGCCTACAATGGACTCATTTTCTACCTTATTGTTTTGTTACTTTTCAGTTTGTATGAATAGTAGTAATGATAATGTTTATAATATTAATAATAATAAATGAGATTTGTAAGACGCCAAATTCACTTGAAAGCAAATGCTTAGAGCGCATTTTCGAAACAAAAAAGAAAGAAGAAGAGATCACATAAAAGCGTCTGCATTCTAAACAAAGAAACATGAATATAAGACAGAACATACGAGAATGAAAGAACAATTTATATGCCGAGTACATATTAAGATTAATTTTGAAACACTTCAATAGATTTAGCATTACGAATCTCTCGAAGGGCCCTGCATGAGCAAAGGTTCAAAGGTCCCCCCCCCCCCCATTTTAATATTATTGAGCTTAGGAAGAACTAGTAATCTGTCATTTAAAGAGCGTTCAAATCTGGAAGGAACGTAGTGATTTATCGAAATAATATTGTATGGTAAAGCAGAGCCATGGACACAATAAAATAAAAGCAATTTTTTTTTTTTAAACGATGCGTTATCCCGTGATGTGACTGTGTTTGTTGAAGAGGGTCACTATTCGAGCAGCAGCAAGCAGCGTTCTGTAATTTATGTGATGTTACTAACTGATATTTTTTTTTGTAAGTTGAACAAAAGAGCATTTAACAAATCAAGACGGGATGAAATTAAAGCATGAATTAATCTTCTTTGTGGCACTGCGAGTGAGGTATGTCAGTATGAATCCTAAATTATCCAACATGATACCGGCCTGATTTAAAGACGTAGTGGATTTGTGGAGACTTTTTATGTTTGAGTTTAAAAAAATCCAAGGTGAAGACATACATGAGACACAGCAATATCATGGCCAAAAAGGGCAATGGAAGTAATAAATATATGTACCTTATTAATCGAGTCTTGCGAAGCAAACAATATAAATTCACATTTTGTAAGATATGCTTTCAGTAAATGTGAGTTTAACCAATTATGAAGATCCCGTACTCAAGATTATGGATAGCGCTGGCTGCATTGCTTTGGTTGGGTTCGAATCGAGTAGGTTTCTGAGTATCTTTTGCATAAATAGGATATCGAAAATTTAGAGTGGTGTAGAAGAATATTGCATTGTATTTTAAGTAAATGTAGAACAAACAATTAAACTTCCAACAACCAGCTTCAAACTTCACAATATCACATCAACTGAAACATAATTATGGAGATCGTGCCTTTTCAACTGCAATATCATGTGGTAAGGGCTTCCTGAGCAGCTTTGAACAAATATTTGTTTTCAAGGCTGTCTTGCCTCCATTTAGCTTCTTAGGGGCTAGTTCCACATGGTTGGTGGATTTTCACAATATAGGATAATTTCATTGTTTTACTACTTTTTATCATTAAAATTGCACTTATTCTTCTGTTTATTTGAACAGAGCTTGATAATTACGTGTAATAATATTCAGATTATTTTTGTTTAATGTACATATGTAATTACATTCTCCCCTTTGTTTTCTTATCTTATCTCACGAAAAGGCTCAAACTGGTTTCCTACTCCTCGTTTTTATAGTGAATAGCATACGAGGTAAGTCGTGATATTTATATCCTGTGGTTAAGTGAGGCAGGCACGGATGCATTTATATAAAACGGTTATGTGACTGGGTATCACAAAGGCTGATAATGGACTGCGTTTTCACAATGGCTACTGAATGCAAATTTCTGATAGGGCCCATATCCTATGATATGGAATACAACCAGCATTATTCAAGGTTGGGGGAACGACCGGGATCGAGCACCTCTCCCTGAAATATATTCAAAGGGTCGTCTTATGCCTGCATCATATTTGGGATGTGGATGTTTGCCCTACCTAGCAACGAGTAATATATACAATTCGCATTCTGACTACAGAGAGAGGGTTAATCGTAACAGTTGAAAGAAATAATTTGTATTGAGGCACTTCACTAATACGTATGCATAAAATTTGATGCACACATCTTTGTTGAGTGCCTCGTTACAATTATGTCATTCATCTGTCACGAAAAATTGTATCTCAGTAGTCAGAATACAAAGTGCATACATTACGTGTTATTAGGTAAGAAAAGCCATAAGGTTTGTCCTATATACCTAGAAACTATACAGTTAGAATTCGGACAATTGAAATGAAATTAATATTGGTAACAACTAACAGGTGAAAGAAATAATTTGTAACGAGTAATTTATCAGAGATGTGTGCGTTGAATCCGAAAACATTGCAAGAATGATTGATTGATTGATATGCCTGATATTTGCCATAAGTCTTTGTGAAGTGCCTCAATACAAATTATTTCATTCACCTGATAATAATAATGGTATTTCAATAGTCAGGGTGCAAACTGCATATTTTAAGTGTTGCTAGGTAGGTCAAGCCATAATGTGTGTCCTATCTGGCAACAACTAATGTATGCAGTTCGGATTATGTCTATTGAAACACTATTTCTCTTATCAGGTGAATGAAATAATTTGTATTGAGGCACTTCACAAATACTTATGCATTAAATTTCGTTACATTACGAAAATGGCCTATTAGTTTATTTCATTACTTTTTGTTACTGATTGTCTTACCTTCGCTTTATTGTATCCATTTTTTGGTTTATAATTTCCATATGTCAATTTTGTGTACTTTTCGGGGGGTATATTTCTGTCTATTTTTCAAATATTTTTTTCAACAAGTAATTTGAAATAAAGAAGAATTGAATTGAGAAAAAACTGAAGCATAGGTGGGATTTCAAAATGATAAGAGCTTAAATTTACATTCTCCTCTTATGGTAATAATACTAATGGTGGCTTCTTATATAGCGCACATGTCCGTCACATTGTGACGCTCCTGGCGCTGCCCCGATTATTACCCTGAGTTTAGCAAATTTCAAGGAATTAATTCCTGCCAGGTACCCATTTACATCACATGGGTTGAGTGTGGCAAATGTAGATCAATGTCTTATGAGTACAATTTAGAAATAAAACAAGATCTTCTGTAAATGTTTGTATCTGGAAATAAATCTAGCATGCAATTTAGGCCTTCTGTCTGTTTTCTATGTTACAACTGCAACATAACAAAACATGTTTCGCCTCTCAGTTGTCCTAAGGGAAATACTTGATGTCTCGCTGTGATCCCATAGTATATATCATTTTCAATTGCAATAAAAGTACTTGATAAAAAAGTAAACCAGGCCTTATCTTGCATGGCCCCAACCATTATTTTCTTCTGTTATTAAACGACTGAGTCTTCTACAAGGTTCAACGTTTATTCATTTATTCTCTCAGGAACGTAAATAAATTATACGCAATATATTTTGACAAGGATATCACATTACATAGCGATAACAGTGGAAATTAAAAAAGGAAGAAAGGAGAGTTAAACAATACCTACCAAAGATATACACTGTTGATTTAACACGTTGATAAAATATGTAATTCTATGTTGCGTTCGACCGTAGATTTATAGCTTATATATTACATTACATGTATCGGGATAAATATAACTATTGTTTTCTGTTTGTAATTATAGTATTTAGCTATGAAGTTCGCGACGTGTGTCCAGGTATCTCAAAGATTATGTGCCCTGTGCAATACGACTCAACAACAAAGGAACACATACAACTGATACCTAAATATGTTCCTGTCGGTCATGAAATTCAAAATCTACAAGGTGATATTCGTGAGAATGTGAAGAAGTTCTACTGCGCAAAACCGGGTGAGAAAATTATTTTGTTTTGTCATGTAATTGCGCATGTAGAATTACAGTAATTTAATCTAGAAATTGATTCAGAAATATTTCAATTTATCCTGGCTTAGCGACATTTGCTTTGATTTAAATGCACGCAAAATTTATTTGAGTGACAAAATTATTACATTGGCCGGAAAAACATACAGTGTGCTACATTACAGCCTAAGGTTAAAGCTTTCCATACACTACACGAACACCCTGCGATCCGATTTTCGAAGAAATAGCAATATTGTAATAAATAGGAAACTAAACAACCATCATCTTCCTGATTTAGCGTCTAAATAATGAAGAAAATATTTTTTTTAAATTGAAATGTTATTGCTTTCAATTCTACAAGTCCGAAATAAAATCGAATTGGTTTCAATCCGTAGATAGTCGCACTATTGGCGTGACTTCACGACGATTCTGAGCCGATTTAGTTTGTCCTCTTCCAAGGAAGCATGAAATCCATCGGAATTTAGAATTTCTTAATCCTATGACTATTAAGATCCTCGGTCATGAAGAATTTACCTGTTTGAATGTTCTTATCAAACGCTTTTGCAAATTCTTCCAAAACCGGATCGCAGTCGGATCGTATGCATGGTGTGCAATATGCTTTAACAATGCATGAGTTACTACCGGTCGCCGATTTTCGGATACCACTGCTCGGGAGTTAGTTGTTGCTCGAGAGGTTTTAGGCAGTTTTAGAAAGGTTGTGAGTAATCAGCGATTGCTCTCCGGACCATTTTGGTCGGCTGGAGGTTTACGCTGCTACATAGATAACCTTATGCCGACCAAACAGGTTGTGAACAGGTTTCTTCTTAGTGTTTCAATGGTACGCAACAGTTTTCAGACTGATCGAAGACTGATCCCAAATGCTTGTCAAATATTACCTTGTAATATATGATGGAGAAAAGGTTGACAGCTGATCGACGAATGATATACGATCAATCGCCGATTGATCTCTATATGAACACCGACAGCCAGCAAGGAATTTAACTTTGGAAAATTTGACAATTCTATTGTTGCTTCTACTGCTGGCTCATAAATTTAGTTCGTTTGGTACTATTCCATTGACAGAATAGCGCGAAGAAAAGAATAAAACTAGGGAAATAATCGCTTATATCATTATATATTTTGATGATTTATTCATTTACATAAACCTCTTTTCCAGTTCTACAGCCTGATAAATAGATCAAATGTTATTAAGCGAGAAGATTAATAAAGTTTGTTCTATATTCAATGGAGAAATATGTTACTATGACTCCCTTAAAAGAGACAGTGGGTTTGTTTATAATCAGAGGATTTTTTTTTTCTGTGCTCCCGGGCTGCTAAAAATCAGCCTTCGAAATGTGTTTCATCTATCATAGTACACCCCTCCCCCCCCCCCCCCCCGAGAGGTGGAGCTGTATCTCTGTTCATTCAATGATACTTATTGCATGTGCTACTTTTGTTATTTTATGAGGAAAGGTCCCTCCATTTCATAAAACCCCTAATATTTGTTATTATTTCATTTCAGCAAATACACAACAACAAAAAGTCAAGCTAATATAATTTTTCTAGCAAAAAAATATTTCGCACTTTCATAATCATTAACGTCATTATCATAATTATCTGTTAATGAGAGTATAGCCTGGATGTAGTATAGTCACATCACTTTATTTATGTTCTTTCAAGGCAGCCACTCGAAAATAGAGATACTAAAAAATTATTTATGACCTTATGTACTATCGTCTCCTCAAGGCCAGAAGGGTATATTAGCTTTGTGTTAAATCATGGTGTAAATCATACGTGTTTGCTCCCTATTTATGTGCACACAGCCTCGCCATCATCTTTTTAGTTTCCATTTTTCATGAAAATGAGTGGAGCCTACTTATTAATTTGTAAAAGAAACCAAATAGACATGGTAAGAATGAAAAATATGAATGAGATAACCCCATATCTCAACAAATACGATTGCTAATAATGAGCAAGTAATTTAATTTCTTGCGCCAGTGATTATATCCCTCCCCCTATTTAAAGCTTGCCGACCATCGTAATAACGTTGGTCAATTATCTGTTATCGCTAATCAATCGAGTAAAAACTGCCAACCATTCACCAATATTTCCTCCAACGGTCGCTCATGTTTGGTATCTTTTATGCAGCATGTCTCGCAAGACCCTGCTGGAATGGCGCCATCTGCGATGAAACTGTGGATGGTTTTTCCTGCACCTGTGCCGAAGGATTTTCAGGTCCACTGTGCGAAGAAGGTACAATCTTTTGTTTTAAAGCCCATCTGCACTAGTTTGGCCAGGAGGGATTAGACCTCCCTGCATGGTCACTGACAGGTGGTTATCTCATCAAATCAGCTCTCAATTAACATAAGAAAAAGGGGATCATGGGGGACCAATGTTCACCGATTAGGGTGCAAGTAGCTATACGTGGTGCAGTTGGGCTTTAATTTTATTTATTTCATTGTCTTTTTTGTTTTGTTACTAAATCATAACGTTTAGTGGATATACGGGATTACATAGGATTACATCTCTTTTTCTTATTGAATTAAGATCCCCTTAATAATCGTAGTAGATGCTATTGCTCTTGAATGCCAACCGGGCCACTCGATCTCAACTAAATTGTTGAAAAAAAATCAGAGAACTTGTAAAGAAAGATCACAAGGATAACTAAATAGTGGGGATATTAAAGTGTACCAATCACCAAAACGTGTTTAGCTCTTGGTGTAAGAGATTCATTATTGCTACACTGTAGAAAAACTATAAGCTTCAAATAATCTGTTGTTATAAGAAGAGATATTGCGGTTTAAATACGCTCTAGGTGAACAGTAAAACGCCTTGTTGAGTAAACTTCTTAATAAACGCGTACACACTCCCATAGAATAGGGCACACACGGAACCGGAGTCTGAATTATGTTCCAAGTGAGTTATGAACGGGGTTAAAGGTAAAGACCAGTATTGGAAACGCTCCCATTTCAAAATGAAATAGAAGCTCTTATGACCAATCATGTGAAAGAATATGTTTTGAATATTACATGATGATAAAAATTTTGACGGGAAACCGCCTACTAATTGATATATTTGGTAAATAAGTGTATCTCTCGCCTGTTGAGAGATATGAAATGCATGTGTCGCGCACGTGTTTGTAGTCCCATATACATCTTTCTGTGTACAGTGCTTCTAAGTTTATGAAGACTTATCATTTTGATGATTCCAGAACCTTGCAGTACATCTATGCTAGATGATCAACTTTTTCTGATCGATTTCACAACGTTTCTTTCACAATGCAATCGCATGACCATAACTGGTCTTTAGCTTTAATTGTTATGATTTATTTTCTTCATACTCCTCAATAACCGTTTACCCATGTAAATTGCGAGGTAACGTTTGTCTTTGTTTCGTTGATATAATATATTTTACGTATACACAAACTAATGTTTTAGATAATTTCTACACTTTTACAAATCAAACATAAGATTCCCTCAAAGGGTTTTGGCTGTTTAGTTTGTACATGCATTTTTGAAAGCATTTACAGTTCTCATTATGATTCCATATAAAGTTCATCAGAAATAAATGAGATTTTAAACTTCAATTTAATAGACGAATACATCGGTTCTAGAAATATTAAAGCAAAAATGATGCGTATTGGAAACGAAACAAACCGGTTTACATACACATGAAGCATTGATTTAAAGTGATCATATTCGTCTTATTGATTACGACTGTGTCTTTTCTTTCCACCACTCTTATTTTTCACTGCAGACATTAACGAATGCTTGAGTCATCCATGTGAAAATGGAGCTGTGTGTCAAGACGGAATAGATCGGTACATATGCGAATGTATGTCAGGATATGAAGGGACTCATTGTGAAACAGGTATGACTTATCTGTTGTTGATGATGTTTATGTTTCGCAGCATTTATCTGGCTCCATATATCTGATAAAAAGCATTTAACGGCTTAAGATCCTTAGAAGTTAATAATGAAGTTAGTATTTACACGTAGATAGAGATACTTTTTGACAAGAACATTCGCCGCTTCATTTCTGAGCTCATTGACATTGTATCCGTTGGACATTTTATGATGAAGTACCACGTTATAGTTTGCGTATTTTAATATTGAGATAAAAAGAGTTGCAGTATGCTAACACACAGACTGGTCCATACTATTCTAGATTGGTCCTCAATAACAGATACAACTGAAGCGAACCAACATGAGGTTAAAAAGTAGCGATTCATCAGCGAGGAGCTTAACACCCAGACTCCTGATAGAAGTCTAAAATACTTGGTGGCGTACGGGACACCTAAATGACCAAATACCTTGGACTTGCTTACAAGAGTAATAAGATTGCTGTCTATATATGGCTTGTGGAATATAGTTTTGTACCTTTACACTGTACTATGCAACGGTGATAAATTGCTTTTTGAAATAAGGATCATTTTTATCCAAACGGTTTTAGATTTGAGACAATGCAACCTTATCGGTTATTTCGGCGAAAAATGAAATGTCGAAGACAGATCTGTAGCTTTTCAGCTGATCGCGATCAAGATTGGACTTTTTGATCAGTGGAGTTACCACGGCTTCCTTTAGGGCTGAGGGGGAGAAAATACTGCTGTTCAATGTTTTCGTCCAAGAGTCACATTGGCAGCATATCTACCAAGTAGATTCCGTTTGGTGCAGAACGGTTTGACTTGTGCACTTTCTCAACATTTTCCATTTCTTTTTGTCAACTCATTTGTCTATTATTCATTTTCATTTTTATTTCTATATCTTTTACGGGCTATTCTTTGATTTGTCAGTCTCATGGACTGTCGGTGTCTTAGGCTGTCGCTTTCCTGGGCTGCCGGTATCGTAGACCCTGTGCAAACTTCTGGTCTAATGCGTTGTCGGTCTACTGGGCTATCCCCTAAAAGACATTGAAAACTGTAATAGTTACATCCGCTTGGGAAACAATCTTCATTCAATACGTCTGTAGTGTGTATTTTTTTTTATAAATATCAAGAAATATAAATGTGAAGTCTTATTCGTTCATAATTCGTGAATAATATATCTTTTGTAGAAACGCTGGAATGTGCAAGTAGTCCGTGTATGAATGGTGGCACCTGTAATGAAGAAGTCAACCGTTATACGTGCTTATGCCTTAGCGGTTTTGAGGGGATCTATTGCGAGACGGGTAAGAAACCGCATCACTATGATTCCCTTATACAAGATTTGTTTGAGTTACAAGACACTGAGCCCAAATATTTCGATATTTAAGATAATATAAGGCGCTACAATTCGCATTGATGCTACTACATATTCACCTAACATGTCTGTGTATTGGTTAGATTATGTTTATGGGTATACAATTATCATTTGTCGGGAAAAAATGTCATTTGCATAATGAAAAAGATATGAGTGTGAGATAAAATTTTTATTTTCCATAAATGTGTATCAATGAGACTTTCAAATTTTCGACCTTTACGTCAATGACGTCATCATCGAAAGGACACTGCATTCATCGACCGAACCCAGGGCTGTTTTAAGCGAAGCTCTCAGCATTTTCTACCAGGAGACCAAGCCTCATCCATTCACTCTTTATATCTTCTCAATATTCATTTAGATATTGATGAATGCAATAGTTCTCCTTGCCAGCATGAGGGAACTTGTTCTGATAACGTCAATCAGTACACCTGTTCGTGTGTTCCCGGTTATGAGGGAAAAGACTGTGAAACGGGTAAGTCTATTCTACAGTGTCCGTGTTCCACCCTAGCATCTGGATCATACTTTCGTGAACTATCCACTCCAGACCTATGTTAAATTTCTTCTAACTGTATGTGTCCTTTTTAATAAAGTAATTAATTAATTGTTTGTGTAATAATGCAGAACCCTGTTGAAGAGCAGTTCCGTTTTCATTTTTTAAATGTAGGCTATTTATTTTTTTTTATTTTTTTTTTACACTTATTGTTTAATTTGTTTATCCTATAACTGTTAGTGAACAGGTTATTCTGGATAAAGATTTGAAATAAATGAATGAATAAGCGCTTTGTTCAATCATGGTGTAACTGGTAAACGCTTAACAATGCTCTTTATACCATGTCATGTAATCAAAATCACTACCTCCAAGAAATAACCCGCTGTATTTTCACTTAATTTACATTTGCCTAGATATAAATGAATGCGCAAGTTTACCCTGTCTGAATGGAGGAGCATGTACTGATGGGCTGGATGAGTACTCCTGTGATTGTCTAGATGGCTTTGCAGGAGAAACATGCGACTCAGGTGGGTCAAAATACTGCTCAGTATGTGGAATGTGTCGTGTAAAGAGAGAGGGGAGGGACTACTAGAACAAAAGTAGCAACAATTATTATTATTGCACACATTTTCTATTAATTATAATTATTTATAAAAACTAAGTAAATGTCAGGACACCCTATTTCCCCTTTTGCGTAGGCCTCGTCAATCCATTGATAATTCGATAGAAACCGCACTTAAAATAGGAGCCAATAAGATATTCTTTCAAAATGAAATAATAGTTATGATCATTTACTGATAGGTATTAAAACATACAATTGCTTCCTGACGTATACATTTATTCATTTTTAAATGGATATTTCTTTCGTATGTTAATTATTATGCTATTTGAGGGGAAAGCGCTTTAATAACAACAACTCTCTTCTTCTGTGCACTTTGATAATTTTATTCTTCTAGAAGACTCTTCTTTTGTGATTTAGAATAAGCAGAAATATGATTACTATCTATCCCTAACTCTCATAGCCACTTGAAAATTTGACATCATATTTTCCTACAGCGAAACAAGAAGCCATTACTCAATAATATATAACATTTATTAGGCGCTTAATACAGGTGTTTCTAAGCGCACTATTATAAATATGTTCTTTATTCAATAAATCATGCATACATAATAACAAAAATAAAAATGAGATCAAACATAAGGTCAAACATGAGATCAAACAAAATATCAAACAAACAAAGAATAATATGGTGTGCACCTCCTTTGACCGACTTACAACTGCATACTAGCATTCATAAATTAAAAAGGTGCGTTTTCAGTAAGGACTTAAACTGGTTAAGAGAATGAGTATTATGAATATGCGCTGGTAATTTATTCCAAAGGATAGGGGCATTTACTGAAAAAGCTCGATCGCCATATTTTGTAACAGAACGAGGTCCAAGGGTAAGCTGTAAGGTTGATGATGATCGAAGAGGTCTTAAAGAACTAGAAGAACGTAAGGAAATCAAATCTGAAAGATATTTAGGGGCTTGGCCATGGAGAATTTTGTATGTCAAAAGAAGAATTTTAAATGTTGTACGATGGTGTATGGGAAGCCAATGGAGAGAACGCAATATTGGGGTTATGAGCTCAAATTTTCTAGAGAGAGTAACAAGCCTTGCAGCAGTATTCTGAATTCTTTGGAGTGGAAGTAAGTATGAATGAGGAAGGCCAGAAAAAATTGAATTGCAATAATCAAGGTGGGAGGATACAAAAGCTTGGGTTAATTTTGCAGTTGTGGGTCGGTCAAGTAGTTTCCTAATTTTCCCAATTTTGAAGATTCCAAAAGATGCAGATTTACAAACGTTTTTAATATGCTGCTGAAATGTAAGATTTTTGTCGATTAAAACACCAAGGTCTCGAACGTATTCACTACCCTTCAGTGAACCATCTCTGGTAACCAAGTCGGGGAAGGAATCGGTGTTTCTGAATTTGGAAGTAATGTGGATCATTTCAGATTTTCGTTCATTAAGGCAAAGTCTATTGTTAGAAGACCAGAACCTAATATCTTCAAGACAACTGCTAAGTTTCCGAGTCGCATCATCCTTCCCGTTAGGCTTAAGAGTTATATAAATCTGAGTGTCGTCAGCGTACATCGCATGCTGAATCCCCTGGTGAGAATTAATGATCTTAGACAGTGGGCTGGTGTAGAGAACAAAGAGAAGTGGGCCGATTACAATACAAAGACCGTACCTTGTCAATCAGACTGTGGGGTGTAAGTTATTGTTTTAATCCGTCTATAGACGGTAGTTATATACAGTGCGTTCCAGAAAAAACGAAACCGAGAATTATCGATTTTTTTTTTTTAATCATTACTTAATCACAATTATGATTAATAAATGACACGTAAAGCTTACATCCTCCTCTTTCATTTGACGCAACTCATATGATGGATATTTCACGCATATATGATGCATATTTCACGCATGAGTGATTAAAAGCAATTTGGAAAAAGAGTACCAATAAGTAAATTAGCGAACGGTATCTGAATTTCAAAGAGAGAATCACATTTCCAGAAAGTTCATTTTCAGCCCTTTCATATGACACCTCCATTAGGAAAAATGAGCCAGGAATAACATAGTTCTGTTTGTTTAAAGTAATGCTTGCATATCCATAATTTTATTAAACGAATCCATTCCACTGGCTGTCTGCCCTAACAACAAAGAAGACGAAAGACTTCATGCATGGCTAATCGTCAACTAAACGGACTTTGTTGTTTGCTGCTACGGCAGGCAGCCAGAGAAAAATGAATGTGTTGCACCATCCATCATTTCTTCTGACAATTTTCCCTATCAGATACTGATGAGTGTATTAGCATGCCATGTCAGAATGGTGGTGCCTGTGTTGATGATATCAATCGCTATTCATGTTCATGCACGCCTGGATATGAGGGATTGCACTGTGAGATTGGTAAGTAAATGAAACATTTGTGTATCATAACCTTGAAATTATGCAACGGTCTCTTTGGAATATCAATTATGTCCGTTGTCTTCTCTTCTAAAATTGCCTTGATCTTAACTTCCCCCAAGGGATACGTAGTCAAGCTGACATTTAGTAACATAACAATATTATTTTAGAAGAATTATTGTTGAATAAACCTCAAATTTCTGTGCAATCATATAGACTACGCGTTGATGACTCCACGCAATAGCTTATACAGGCTTTCCCCTGTTAATTAATTAATTTTGTCTCTCAAATTCACATTGCGTGCACTGTAGTCGAATTACCTAAAATATCGCCCTCGGGGGAATTCCATAATTCAAAATCACAAATCCTAGCATTGAAGCTCAACAAACAGGTAACCGAAGTCACGCATACACAGTCAAAGTATTCGCAATGTACGTTAGGCAATTTTTACTGCCCGAATTCAAGCTGACACGACAGGCTTGATGAGTTTGTTTAGAAATGTTCATTTGTAGGCGGCAAATTTGCTAATTCGTGAATTCCATTTATGGATAAATATATGGCAGGAAACTGGAAAAATGAATATATCAATGGGTCAGTCTGTTATAATGTATTTGTGTTGTGGGATGGGGTGCACACTTTTGGGTCAGCAGACGGTTTCTGTTGTTGGGTTTTACTAAATGTGTTGTCCTATCGTGAGGACATAATAGATTCTCAAGTCATCATCTTGTGGTATGTTTATTTTTCCGACCTTGAAAGACTAAGATTATTCGTAATGAATACACCCACCCTAGGAAAGAATATTGAATGTCGATAGCCTTGTTTTCATCAAACTGTCCCCATTTTGTATTTTTAAAGACAATATAGATATTGCAAATCTTTTTACAGTTAGCCTAAATCAAAAGTGGTGGGTTAAAAAAAGAACAAAAATAATACAAGGCTATTGATTTTCAATTTTCCTTATTTTTGTTGATTTTTAAGGTTAAAATAACAACGAATTTATCACATCATAGTGATAGGACGGCTGATAATATTACTAATGCCCTTCAAAAGAAAATAGTATACCGATCCCCAACCACAAGCGTGGACCCCCCCCCCCCCCCCCTCCTTAATTCCGTTATTTAAAAAAAATCAGGGTCATGTCCTTCCAACTTGAATGCACGAACTAGCCAAACGGTCGTCTAAAAATAAAGTTAAATGCCGAAAACAAGCTTGTGAAGCCTACCGTGTTAATTTTAAGGCGTGGATCTAAAAATTGAAGGAAAATGTCCGAATGTGGTCGTCTGTTGAAGAACTTGAATGCTCAGATTCGAAGGTGTTTACATTTATTAGAATGCACGTTAATATAATTTAAGTACCAAAATAATTGAATTGGCTTAGAAAACCTATAGTAATCAAATTTTAAATAACACATACAAATTTTGGGACTTTGTTCTCCACCTGTTGTTTTTTTATTTATAAAATTAATTGACCCTGTTTCATATGATCAGAAATCAACGAATGCGCCAGCAATCCGTGTCAGAATCAAGGGGTGTGTACGGATGATGTCAACCAGTATACATGTGCCTGTCAACCAGGCTTCGCAGGAGACCAGTGCCAGGACAGTAAGTTATTTAATTAAGTCTTTTCCTGGTTATACATTCCAGCGGAGGTCTAACTATTGACAAGTTATCTTTGATCTAACAAATCGAGTTGTAACCCCGATGGCATATATTAAGATAATTTATGTTTTCCGTTGAATGAAACAAAACGATTCTTGTCAAATAACTTAAAGTGATCAAAAATTTCCTTTACTACGCTATTTCATCTGCTCTTGCAGTAAGAGAGTAAAAGATCATGTAATAATACGTTGTTTCATTGATGATTTATAAAGCATTTAGTTTATTTTTGAACTGTTGTTATTCGAGGTTATATTTCCATTAATTTCTACGGTAGTCTATCTGTCAGATTATTATTACATGTATTTTATAGGGCGTTCGATCACTCACACATTTTGCCCTTGTCGATAAATGATGTCCATGCCGGACGGCTTGTAACGATCACTCACGTAATCACATTATCACGTTTAGGTACCTTCGTAGAAAACATTATCTGATCTATGGAGTGTTGGGTTGTATGACGCAACATTTCGTTGAAACCATTGTTAAACACGAACAGTGATGGTACTTGACGCAGATGTTCCAACATTTCCATATCCATAAAAACAAAAGATCATTACAACAATATACATTATATAAAAAATTACATGCAATCATACAAGTTAACAGTATCACAGATACCAAATTTGCTAGTCGGAAATTAGAAAAGGGGAACTAAAATAAGGCCAAAGGGCCTTGTAAAATAAGTTTCCTAAAAGTATAAACTATCATTTGGTTTTTCAACTTATTCTGTTACTGAAAGACATGTAAACAAATTAAAAAAAAAAAAAACAGTGGATAAAAAACAAAACAAAAAACAAAAAAAGAAGGGAAAAAAAGAAAAAAAAAAGAAGAAAAAAAAGCCAAAAACAAAACAAAAAAAGCCAGAGGAACAGCAAAGTCTAAAATATGGTTGTGTTTTATGTCAGTATTTGGACAAATAATAAATTTTCAGATATTTTTTTAATAGTCTTTGGTTATTGCAAAGGGGAATGTATTTTGGTAATGAATTCCAAATCACCGGGAGATTACACCGAGGAGATTTTTCTTCATACATAAACATAATTTTACAACGATGAAAATTGGTTCGATTTCTTGTGTATAATTATGAATACTGAGATTCGTAGCGAACATGTTCGAAATAGTATTTGGAAGAAGATTATGAAAACAAAGGAACCCTAGCACTGACGTATGATACTGATATAAATCAAATATATTCAAGGTTTTGAGCTTTATAAAAATCGGAATGAGCAAGGTAATGGCTACTGGTACAAATACGCAGTACTTTTTTCTGTAATTTAAATAAGATGTTCATTTTTAGTTTGCCACAGTTACCCCAGACACTGACACAATATGATAAATGTGGTAATACAAGTGCATTATATAATGAGAACAGAGCATGATCTGGCAGATAATATTTCAGTTTGAATAAGATACCAATACATCTAGATACTTTACAAATAATATTGTTCACATGAGTATCCCATTTTAAATTACAGTCATTACATACTCCTAGAAAATTTTCAGCATTCACCTTTTTCAAATGAATAGAATCAATGCAAATGGTAATTTCACTCAATGAATTCGAAGTTTCAAACGTACTATTTAAACAAAATGTCATGAAATTAGTCTTCCTTTTGTTTATAAGAAGTCTATTAGCTTTAAACCATTTAGAAACTTTACACAAGTCAAAATTAGCATTGTGTTCTAAATCTAAAACATTGGGTTGCGTATAGAATAATGTTGTATCATCTGCATACATTGTCAATTTAAATTTGTCAGAGGATTTAATTATATCATTGACATATAATAGAAATAACAAGGGGCCTAGGATAGATCCTTGGGGCACACCATTTTTAACTAGGGAACGACCAGAAGAATATTCATTAAATACAGTATATTGATAGCGATTATGTAAATAACTCTGAAACCAGTGAGGTGGTATACCCCTAACACCATAGTAATTAAGCTTATATAAAAGTATGTAATGATTCACAATATCAAACGCTTTGGAAAGAGCCATAAATATGCCTATTCCAAAATTATGATTTTTTTTATGGCTGTTATTATTTTTTCCTGTAAATCTATCAAAGCATGCACAGTTGCATGATTAGATCGGAGTCCATATTGATTGTTGATAATATAATTTTTGCTACTCAGATAAGAATAAAGACGTTTGTGCATACATTTTTCTAGTATTTTAGACAGAGAAGGTAAGATTGAAATAGGCCTGTAATTTTCAAAAGCATGACGATCATCTTTTTTATAAACAGGAACAATTCTAGCGATCTTTAGTTTATCCGGAACAATTCCAGTAGCCAAGGATTGATTAAAAATATGTGTTACCGGTTTGACAATTACATTGATAATTCTTTTTAAAATGACAGAGCTAATAAGAATCAAATCCACATGATTTGGTGTTTTTCAGTTTTTTACAATTTTCAATAATTTCACTTTCATTTATAGATGTTAGATATAGAGAGACAGCACTAGGATTTTTCAAATAATCTTTAAAATCTGAGGATACAAAGCTATCATTTTCGAGCAATGAAGTAATTGCTTTGGTACATGAGTTAATGAAATGATTATTGAATTCATTTGCAATTTGTTGTGGATCATCTACACATTTAGCATCATGTATAAAATACTTGGGAAGAGAACTTGTTGATTTTCTCAGTAAATTATTCAAAACAGACCATGCGCCCTTAACACCATTATGCATACATGTATTCTTAATTTCTTAGAATAATACAATTTTTTAGCATGTCGTAGAATCTGGTTCACTTTGTTCCTATAAACCTTGTATTTATTCTCATGAGAAGAAGAACGATCATTCAAAAGAACTTTGTAAAGCTTTTTTTTTTTCCTAATACAACGTAAGAGTTCTGGCGTAATCCAGGGTTTACGGATAAGTGGTTTCTTTACCTTACGTTTAATATATGGTAAGTGTTTATCGAATGCATTAAGTAACTTTGATAAAAACAATTCATAAGACTCATTCACATCAGAGCAACAATATATTGAGGACCAATCTGTAACATACAGTTCCGCAATCAATGCATTAATGCCATCATTTGTAATTTTGCGAGATAATTTTTGAGTATTTGATACATTATTTACATTGCATTCAATTTGAGAAAGATGAAAAATAGGCAGGAGGTCAGAAAAGTCAGCACACAAACTTCCACTATCAACTGTAGAATTTATAACATTGGTAAATATATTATCAATTAAGGAAGCAGTATTTACAGTAATACGAGTAGGATTTGTTATGAGGGGTACGAGGCCATACGAGGAATTGATACTTAAAAAATTGGCAGCATCAGAACTTTTTAAATGTTTAAGGATATCAATATTAAAATCCCCAGTAATTTATAAGTTCGAATGTTCACATTTGAGCTTACATAACATATAATCATAAAAATTCAAGAAATCATTAATATTACCCCTTGGTTTTCTGTATATAACACCAACTGTATTTTTGGTGTGACAATGATTGATGATATCAATAAACAGATATTCATAATCATTTATCTCATTCTCATTACAAATAATATGATCATTTCTCACTCGATATTTCAACTGATTTGATACAAAAAAGCTACACCACCTCCTCGACCAAAAAGTCTGTTTGAATTTAAAAATGTATAACCTTCTAGCTCAAAAGATAAAAGTGGTACATCAGTAATCCACGTTTCAGACACTGCAATAATTGAAAATGAAATTTGAATTGATGATATTAGTTCAGAAATTCTTTAGAAATTTTTCTGAAGGCTACGAGCATTGACATGTAATATACTGAGACCATGATGTTTATGAAACTTTATGTGTAAGAGCAAGAATTTGTATTCAATAAGTTATATAAATTTAAATCTGGATCAATATCAGCTAACGGATTCATAAATACATTCAATAATATTCATATTTTCCAATACATCAGGGTATACATAAAGATTAAATTGTAAATACATGAATACTGGCTGCTGAAAGTTACAGTTAACAGTATAAAATTGATCATGTTCCTCTGACATACATTCAAACATACAAACATAAAAAGAAAAAAAGAACATACTTTGAAGAAAAATAATTAAATATTAAAAACAGTGCATTAAAATAAAGAAGAGGAATATCCGAAAATATTCACTGATCAAAGTCCAGTTAGGAGAATAACACAAATAACTGTGTGTCATCCATCCAGGAAAAAAGTTAAAATGAGATTACCCTATTATTATTATCCTTCGCTTCCTAATTATAGTCACTTTAGTTGATCTTTGTTATGAATGACTTTAATGCCCAAATCTTTATCTTTGAACAGAGCAAAGATGCGACCGTCTAAACTCAACACATTTTGTACCGTGGGACAAGCTTTTGCATGATTAAGAAGTTCCTGGTTACTAGACGTGAGGTCCTCGACTATTGACTTATTTTGACCTTTTAGTCTGCGCCTATTCCTAAGGATCTCCTTCCTTTTCTTGTATGGTTTAAGCTTTACTATAATACCACGTGGTATCTGTCTGCCTTCTTTCTCCTTCTTTTTCCCTACTCTATGACTGATATCGATGTCTTCTAATCGAAGGTCTACATGTAGAATGTTATTCGCTATGTCAATTATGATCTCATCAGTGTTTTCTCCATTTCTTTCAGAGCAACCAAATACCCGAATACAGTTTCGTCTGGAGTATTGTTCCTGAGCATTCACCTTGTTGTCTATTCTAGCAAAGTGATTTTGATGAGTGCTGACTTTCTCTTTGAGAATTGTGATTTCCTTGGATTTGTTGTCGTTGCTAGTCTGCAAGTCAAAGATATCTGCTTTCAGCTTATCAATAGACTCTTCCATTTCATTCATTCTTTTTTGAATAGATTCCTCAACCAGATGAATAAATCCTTCGTTCTGTAGAATGTCTTTGATGATGTCCTGCACTAAAGCAGGGTTGCTACGCTCCTTGGTAGATCTAGCTTTGGTGACAGGTGCTTCCACATTGTTTGCCATTATTTGAGGAAATCAGGTTAGGGACCTCACATGAAATGATCAAGAAGGGCGTCAATGGTACAAGACCAGCTGGAACTTTGGAAAGTAGCAATAGCTTTCTTGAAGAGAACAATAATAAATAACATAATCAATTTAAATGTTCACTGAGAAGGGACTGACTCAAAATAATCACGCATGATTCTCCAGCCATGATTTTGGGAGCCTTCATAAAGATCGGCTCTATCTAGAAGTCAGTGGCTTGATTCCCCACCCACCAATGGAACTGACGATAACCAAGTGTTTTATGTACACTAAAACAAGAGTAAATATATTAATGTACATTATGACTAGTCTCAATAACTAGCACTTGCATTTTTTTAAAGTGGTAACATTTAGGGTTAAATACGAAAAGAAATCGTGAGTATCCCTGATTTACCCGCCTTTAAAAAAAACACGTAGATTAGATACTTTGTATCTACGAAAGTACTCCAAACGTGATAACGCGGTTACGTGAGTGATCGTTACAGACCATGCCAGGCAACTTTTCAATTTGTTCCAATTAAAACAAATAACTTAAATTGATACTTTTTGTCAAAAGTTCTGTGTTTTTTAGAGGACCTACAATAAAATGCTATCTTTAATATATATTTGAGTTGTACATGACAAAAGGGAGAGATGTCCATTACTCTATCCCCTGATAAAATTGCCATTTTGAGTTTTGGTATGAATTAGTGATCTTATTTTAAAAAATTACAATATTACATAGGTTATAGATTGCCCTTCAAATGAGGGGGTGGCTACATTTACATGGGATAATTCTGGAATTTAAATATTTTTTCTCAGATGTGAATGAATGTGAGAGCAATCCTTGTCAGAATGATGGTGTTTGTCAGGATGAAATCAACGCGTATTCATGTTCCTGTGTGCCCGGCTATGAAGGAATACACTGTGAAACAAGTAGGTGAATTTTGATATACCAGTAATAATTGTCTAAACCCGTATCGGAAATAAAACTATAATCGGTGTTGTTCCTAGCTGCAATTATGTATCTAATGTCTTAAACCTGGCATATTTGCATATTACATGCATAAAGTTCAATTTACTGAAGCCGTTTCTTGCATAAAAAGGCCCCGTCACATGGTATATAATGTCGGACCATCTCTAAAGACGGTCCCACAATTTTGACGAAATCCAGGGAAGTGTTTGAAATAAATATCCAGAACTTATGTGGTGGAGCTACGGTTATAGGCATCAATATAGTTTCATGCACATGCTGGATATTGCTTGACCCTAACCCTCCTTTTACCTTACGCTTCCCCCAGTGTATTCATCATGTTTACGGGTGTCCAAAGAAAAGCATCGCTGAAGCGCACCGTTGGTTGGAAGGCGGTCTAACCACGTTAATATTGAAAAACCCGTGCCCTTCGTCTCAAGAAAAATGTCTTAATATTTTGTAACCGAAAATGAAAAATCATGTTGAATGATCGTCTCATTTCAGATATCGATGAATGCTTGAGTTCACCTTGTCAGAGTTCTGGCACGTGCACAGATGGGATCAACGGGTACACGTGTACATGTTTGCCAGGTTTCGGAGGGACCACCTGCGATGGTCAGTTTTTATTTTGTGAAAGAGTATTAAGTTAGTGCAGAGGTATCTAAAGAATAACAAAAGGAGATCTCAAGAACTTATCTCGTAGTGACCTCTTCAACCATTCCATGATTCCAAGAAAATATCATGTTTTTACCCATTTAACCACTCTATGATTCCAACAACTTATCTCCTTGTAGCTCTAACCACTCCATTATTTCAAGAACCTATCTTAAACTGTTTTCCTCTAACCAATCCAAGAACCCCTTTATCTACTTGTGTTTCTGCGAACCTTTCTAGTAGTGACCCCTTTATCTACTTGTGTTTCTGCGAACCCTTCTAGTAGTGACCACTGTATCTACTTTTGTTTCTGCGAACCTTTCTAGAAGTGACCACTTTATCTACTTCGTGTTTTAATAATTATAATAATAATATCGAATATTTAGGAGCGCTAAAACAATAAGTACCATAGCGCTTACAAATACAAATATATGAAAAGAGGACAAAAATGCACAGTACAGGAAGGATCATTGGGGGAAAAGGTGAATTTTGAGGGATCTTTTGAATGTGGCAAGACAGGTAATTTCCCTTATGGAAAGAGGGAACCTGTTTAGTAGTTACCCTGGCCTGTAAGTACTTCATGAATATTTTTCTTTTTTTCTCCATTTTTTGGACCCTCCAACAGGCCATTTATTGAAAATCAATCTCAAGATAACACATTTGAACACATGTTCCAATGGATATCATACACTATTTCATAATAAGATATACATAACGAATATCAACCATAATACTGTATTTACAGAACATACATGTAGATAAGGGAAAGAAAAACAAAAATTAAATAATAATGCAACATCATGACTGAAAATGATATGGGAAATTCAATATACTCCTATTAAAGGATCAAAATCCTCTCAAAATTTATCCATTTTTTATCGAATTTGTCAGTTTTGTTAGCAAATATACTAACTTGCCTCTCATTTGTGTAACTATTCTTGATATATTGTTTTATTGTCCGAAAGGACGGTACAGACTTTTATATTCGAGAAAAATATAATTGTTGTTTAGTCCAAATTATTATACAGTTTAAAGCATCATTTCTTTTTTCAATGAAACCTAACAAAACATGTATTAAGGACAGTTTTATTCTACAGCGTGTTACAATAGTTAACCAGTCAGTCAAACGACTCCAAATCAATTTGGTCACGTTACAGGAGTAAAAAAAAGTGTACCATATCTTCTTCTCTTCCACAAAGGGAACAGTTCTTATCTAAAATTATGTTAATTTTCACAAGATCTTTATGCAAATATAGTATCTTATTCAAAAGTCTGTACTGAAAGTACCGAACTGTTGTATGCGTTGTACAGCGAAACATAAGCCTGAAATAATATTGCATATATTTATCATCAAATAATACACCATCTGCATGCCATTTATTACATAATTTATTCAAATGTTCATCCTTTTCTTTTAACATAATTTGATAAATATGTCTACATCCTTTTTCATCTTTCAACAAGCATGAAATATATGCAGGGCACAATGGTCCATTTACCTTCATATTACAACTTTCCAATTGGGACTTGTATTTGCATTTAATTATTTGACAGAGTGCATAATAATGAAGAAACTGTATTTTGATTGAAAACTTTTTTCACACTCTTCTCTTGCTAAGATGTGTCCTTGATCATCTAGTAAATCTTTTAAAAATCGAATACCTTTATCACACCATTCTTTTAAAAATATACCCTTTCCTCCAATTTTAATCTCAGAATTATACCAAATAGAAATAGCTTTCCAAAAAGGAGTAGTAGTACATTGAACCTGGCGGACAAAATAAGCTAGTATTTGGAAAAGTTCTTTCCAAAAACAGTTTCTTAGCATAAATGATAATTCAGTGAAATATGTATCACCTTTACCCCATTCCAATGATGATAGTGGACGTAAGAAAGCGTACATTAAATGGGTAACGTCTTCACATGAGTTCAACAATATTCTTCTAATCCAGGTCAGTTTCAAAGCTCTAGAAAATTGTACAACATCAACCATTTTCAATCCACCATTTTCGTAAGAACAAACCATCTGTTTTCTGCTAATCTTATCAGGTTTCCCTTTCCAAATAAATTTAAAAAAAGAGACATTTATTGCTTTTAAAAGATGTTCAGAAGGGTTAGGAATGGACATAAATAAATGGTTAAATTGCGAGACTAGCAGTGATTTCACCAAGACCACGCGACCAAAAACAGAAATGTTACGTTTCGACCAAGATATCATTTGCCTTTTTAGTTTATCAAATATTCTGTCGTAGTTGAAATCCGGAAGCTTTTCTAAATCAATACCAAAGTCTATTCCCAAATACCTTATGAATCCCCCGTTAACCAACGATATGTCAGTCCCATGAACCTGATGTAAATCAATATTTACAGTTTTTTTCAAGGAACCGATACACAATATATGTGTCTTATTTACATTAAGATTTAAACCTGAATACTGAGAAAAGAACTCCAATAGCTCCAGAGCATAATGTAAACTTTCTGTACTATCGAGACACAACACTGTACAACACTGTACTTCATGAATATGCTGGACAATGTCAAGACGCTTGTAATCGGCTCGTTCAATATATGCATGATAATGTATTAAAATTTACGTGTTTCTGACACGATCACTGATTTAGATTCTTTGAAGTGGAATTAATCACCTGAACAGAAGCTAAGAACGATTGAGAGTGAAATGTTAAAGGAAAGGCAATACCAAATTCATTCCATAAATAAAACAATAATATATCATTATATTTCATTATTTGTTTGTTGAATGATACGTGTATTCTCCGTTGTTATATTGAAATGCTTATCGAACAGTTCGTATGCTTCTTCATTTACAGAAGCAGATGAATGCTCGAGCAACCCCTGCTTGAATAATGGAGTGTGCAATGATGCAGTCAATAGCTATTCCTGCGCATGCGTGCCCGGTTATGAAGGAACGCATTGTGAAACAGGTGAGTGGTTTTGTTGTTTTTTCATGTGCACCCCGGATTGCCTTAATTTACCACATATCGTTTAAAATGGAAGCAATGACCTAAACACCATTTAACAGCGAATTGAATTAAAATAGAATACATGTATTGGGATAGGTGAAACAAGAAGCTATAATAACATTTCATTGTTTTCGTTTAAATAATACCTACATTTTTATGAAAATCCGTGGTTATTAACTTATTGAAAAGCTTTTCGAACCGGAGTATGTTTCTTAATTTCCAGATACGAATGAATGCTCGAGCAACCCCTGTTTAAATAGTGGAGTGTGCAATGATGCAGTCAATGGCTATTCCTGCGCATGTGTTGGCGGCTATGAAGGAACGCACTGTGAAACAGGTGAGTGTCTTTTCATTTTAAATTTCCAAGTGCCTCCTGGAGAGACTTAATTTACCACGTAATGTTTGAAAAGGAAAAGGAAGGAAAGATCTAAACACCATTTAAAAGCGAATTGAAGTAAAACATATACATGTATTTGGAAAGGCAAAAGGAAAAACATATATTAACATCCATAGGTAAAACGAGAAGTTATAATTACATTTCATTGCTTGTGTTTTAAAAATACTTACATGTCGTTGAAAATCTGTGTTTATTAACTAATTGAAAAGCTTGTCGAACTGGAACATGTTTCACTTATTTCCAGATACGAATGAATGCTCAAGCAACCCCTGTTTAAATAGTGGAGTATGCAATGATGCAGTCAATGGCTATTCCTGCGCATGTGTTGGCGGCTATGAAGGAACGCATTGTGAAACAGGTGAGTGTCTTTTTATTTTAAATTTCCAAGTGCCTCCTGGAGAGACTCAACTTGTCACGTAATGTTTGAAAAGGAAAAGGAAGCAAAGATCTAAACAGCATTTAAAAGCGAATTGAAGTAAAACTGTATATTTGGAACAAAGGGCAATACCTTATTTGACGTATGTGAAACGATACGTTATGATTACATTTCATTGCTTGTGTTTAATAATACTTTTTTTCCGTTAATTAACTTATTTGAAAGCTTTGTGGAATGGTTTGTATGCTTCTTGATTTCCAGATACGAATGAATGTTTAAGCAACCCCTGTATGAATGGTGCAGTGTGCAATGATGCAGTCAATAGCTATTCCTGTGTATGCGGGACCGGCTATGAAGGAACGTATTGTGAAACAGGTGAGGGTTTTTTATTAAATCAATTTTCGAGTGCCTCCCGGTAGACTTAATTTGTCACACAATGAAATTAAAACTAAAACTAACAGTTACAGACCTGACCCAATGGCCCATAAAGACATTATTTGTGTATTCGCTTGTGTCGGTTGAAGCTAACCAATCCGACTAAAGGATGAACACACTCCAACATCCTCATCGTGTCAGTGGTAAAGAATCTGCTAGCAATCCCTCTAACGTTCCTTTTCATGTTACCTAATTAAAATTGTATCCTGCATAAAAATTTCAGTTCAAGAATTTAACACGGATTGGTAAAGTGATATGTAATGCTTCCACCATTAAATAAAAATAGATATTGCGAACTTTCAACTGGACCGTCTCAGTGCAACGTATATTTGTTATGATTATTTTAATGGAGTCATTAGGATTGTTATGTTCAGTAATTATTATTATTTATTTTTTTCTAACACCTCCCCAAATAGCAACATCGCTTACTATTCAACTTTCTGGAGGGACAAGTGGACGTCTCCTAGTTTATTTTGCCGGAGCCTGGGGTACAGTTTGTGATGATAGTTTTGACCTTAACGCTGGCAATGTTGTGTGTAAACAGCTGGGGTTAACTGGATATTCAACACATGCAACAGTTGGTGGGGGGACTGGATCAATCGTATTAGATAATCTCGTGTGTACCGGATCAGAGACTAATATCGCACAGTGTACACATAATGGATACCTCTCTCACAACTGCGGTCATTCTGAAGATTTAGGGGTGACTTGCAAAAGTAAGATTTGTTTAGTAGAATTATAAGAATTCTGGTAAAATGTAGTCTCACTTTCAGTCCTCCCTTTAAAAAGTAGCTCCTTTTGAGTTAAAAGAAAAGTCAATGAAGTAGGGTTAAGAGGCAGGTTTTCGAACTTCAAACCTCAAATTGAAGTGTAGTAACTATCATTCCAATACGATTTTAAGACTTAAAATTACTAGTTAGATTTTTTACGGTCTTGGATAATAGCTGATTTCACAAAAGGAAGTTAGCGTTAGAGTTTCAATTTTTGAACATTGCCCTACTTTATCAAGTAGGGCATAAAATAAACTAGAAAACTATAGAAAGAAGTTAGCAAGGTAACTACAAACAAGGGAACTACAAGAAAGAAGTTAGCAAGGTAACTACAAACAAGGGAAATACAAGAAAGAAGTTAGCAAGGTAACTACAAACAAGGGAACTACAAGTCGTTCAAATTTGAATCCTTTAAAGGGTTACACTCTATTGTGTCGCAAAATTACGATAAGGACTACAATTTCTACTGTTTTGGGGTATTTTTAACACTTTTTACCACTTAAATTTCTTATAACTGTTAAAATGTTATGAATTGCATTTCATGATACTGTAGCAGTTAAACATTACTAGTTGAAATTATTTGGAGTTTCATGCCTATTTCTAAAAAAAGAAAGCATTACTCAAATCCTTCATTGTATTGCCATATTTATAAACATTCATTGCTTTTCAATCATTTTTGTATTTTACAATGTTAATTTTGTTGTCCGAGGATGAAAATTGATTATAGGCGGCTCAAATGTGTCTGGAAATGTTTATCGCATTTCAGTTAGTTATATCATTGTTATGATATGTTAATCTATTGAGATGTTATTTGCTTTTTACAATCAGCTACACAAGTGAGGATTGCCAGCTCTACTAATTCGGGGCGCGTGGAGATATTCTACAACGGAGCATGGGGGACGGTGTGTGATGATTCTTTCGATGCTACTGATGCAGGTGTCATATGCCGTATGCTGGGATATTCTTCTGGCTCCGCTATCTGCTGTGGTGGAGCTGGCGCAGGTACAGGAAGCATCCTCGTTGACAATCTAGCATGCACTGGGTCTGAAACTGACATCCTATTGTGTCCTCATGCAGGGCTGTTGGTTCATAATTGTGGACATGGCGAGGATGCAGGAATAACGTGTTCTTAAGTCATAATCCTTTCAAAATTAGTTGAAACTATCAGATTACCAGACAAAACAAAATCACCATGGGGTTATGTCTGTTAAACCTACTAAAGGTGTATTTGGGCAAAACGGTCGAGTTTTAGTTTGTTTAAGAACTTTTTGATACAGTATGTACTTCCTTCTACGTAATTACTAACTTTGGATCCGAAGTACCAAACATCTAAAAGTAATATTTTTGCAGTGTTGTGTAGACCTTTTTTTATAGATCTTGAGTTTGTTGTAGTAGGTGTTAATGATTTATGACCTTGGATTACTGGTCTCATTGTGATCTCCATTAACTATAAAAATGGAGTAAGCCGTTGTAGTAGAATATAGACAACATCATTAACAAAATGTGCTTAATCGGTAGGCCAAGTTTTAGGACAGTAGGCTGATTATAACTTCACGGAAATGTGTGTAGGGTTGTCACCTTACACAATAAACTTGGGAGTCAGAATGCCTAATACACTACACATCTTTACATTTCCAGATGCTTTTGAAATAGCAAAAGTAGTGCTGTAACAAAAGCTGTAAACAAAATATAGATAATTATAGACCTGTTGCATAATTACCTATATTTTCTAAATTTTTGAAAAGAATGATGTATGATAGATTGTATAGTTTTCTTACTAAATATGAGATATTGATTAATGAACGATTTTGATTTAGGTAAGGTCGTTCGACCTCTAATGGTGTCTTGACAATGTCAGAATGTGTGAGAAATATATTGTATAATGGTAATTTTCGTTGAGAGTTATCTTTAGAGTTATCTTTATCTATAGATCTTTCAAGGGCATTTGACACCATCGACCATGACATTTTTCTTGATAAATTGTTTCATTTTGGCGTGAGAGGAGTAGCCTTAAACTGGTTCAGATCGTATTTGATGGTAGAAAGCAATATGTGTTTGTCGATGGTGTCGAGTCAAACTTCAAAGAACTATTATGTGGAGCATCACAAGGGTCTGTACTAGGACCGCTCCTGTTTTGTTGTATGTTAATGATATTGTTAACAGTTCTGGTGTCTTTTTGGTTTACATTAACCGCTGATGACAACGTGGTTGTCAAATCCCATAGAAATGTAAATGAACTGATTTTTCTAAAGAAGGCGTTACACAAAATATTTGTTGTGAAATGATTTTTTTTTTAAATGTCAAATTGAAGAGCATACAATTTAAATGATAAAATCGTTGTCGTTTGCTCAAAAATGGGTTGAAAGACGGCTGAAATATCCATGAAAATAACCATTTCTAACGGCAACACAGATATTCGGTCATTTTGAACCAGCCGTTAAAAATATATATAGCGCCTTTTAAGTTTTATTCCAGCCAATGCCAATGTTGGCTTTTTTGTGTAGGTTATAATAAACACAACCAGCCGCCAGTGTATTTTTTTTTAATTATTGGTATCATTCGAAAATAACGGTCACCGTATTTTTTTAAAAGTAGAGCTGAATTGGTATGATCGGATTTAATCTAAATTTCACACATCTTTTGGTCTAAACATACCAATATACCAATATAGCAATTATAGGTTCTTAAAGTGCACTAGAAATGTCATAAATATAAAGAATAAGAGCAATAACCATAACCGAGGGCATTTGAGGTCTTAAACAAGAACTCAACTGTCCCTTTAATGAAGAATTAAGTTAATTGCTTTTATGATTCCAGAGTAATAAATTACTTCTCAATCAAAAGAAAAAGAAGAGTTCCCAGAGATATTAATTACATTTCTGTTAACAACATAACCCTTCACGTGTATATTCATTATCCTTTCTTGGTGTCACTGTAGATGAATTTTTGGACTGGAAGACCCACATTAAAATATGTAGCATTGAAAGTATAAAGAAGCATTAGGGTATTATCAAAATGAAAATTTACCGTTACCCAAGAAAATCTAATGTTATTATACAACTCAATAGTACTACCACATTTGTCTTACTGCAATTTAGTGTGAGAAATTTCGTATTCATCTCATTTAGACAAAATGAAAATACTTTAAAAGAGGGCATTTCGAATTTTAACACATTCAACGTATAATTTTCATACGAAACTATTATTTAGCAGAATGAATGTATTGTTTTCAATCAAGGAACTGATTTTACTTACTACTTGTATATTTATGTATAATTTTCAAACTGTGATTTTCCGCACATTTTTCAAAACATATTTGTAAGTAATTTAACTGTTCATTCCCATAACACAAGGCAAAATTTATTACGCAAACCCCCTGTGCGTACAACTTATGCATTGAAATCATGATTTCGAAATGTTGGATTAAGCCAATGGAATGATTTAAACAAGAACATAAGATCAAGTTCAACTTTGTGAAGATTAAAAGTTTTGTGCAAAAGGGAACTAGTTATTAATTTGTAAAACTGGGTAGAACTACATATTTTCATCATATGTTTCGCCTTCTTTTTTTTTTCTTTCTTTTTAACATTCTTATCTCTTCCAGTCCTCTCCTCTATCTCTCTGTCTCTCTGTCTCTATCTCTCTATCTATCTCCCTCGTTATATGAAATTCAAAGTGCATTGCATTGTGTGTGAGTGCAAGATTTTGTTATTATATGTTTTAATCTTATTCAACTGTAGGCTAATGGCCCCATTTACAAGCTTTGCTTCTAAGGGTTCCATAGCATGTCATTATATTGCAATTGTATATACCGATACCAGTGTGATTGTAAATTGTTTTTAATGATTGGTTCAATAAATTCAACAAAAACAAATCCATATTGGCGGGGTTTTTTAAGAGCCTCCCACAGGTTAGCAAGCAGATCAAGTTTACATTTTAAGATCTTTCTACTAGCAATTCAGTACTTCATGACATTTTATTTCATGTTATTTCTCAGAGGTACCTATAAAATATGAACCTTTGCTAAGAAATTTTAAGGTCCGGGTGGAAAGACCTAAATTTTTGTCGTATCCGTCGTTAAAGCAAACTGTTATAGAAAACAGGGTTATGAACATGCTGCCCATAAACCACGGAATAATATCCCAGATAATGTGAGACAAGCTGAATAAGTTTAACGATTCTTCCGAAGAAAGAATGAAGACAAAAAGAAATCTACAAACGTACATAAGTATAAGTAATATATAGCAAACACTGGAGAACATCGAAATAAAAGGAAAAGGGGGAGAGGGAAGGTTGGGGAGAAAAGTGTTGTAATGCATTGTAGATGCAAATGCATGCATATATAACATCCAAATGCACACCATAACGTAGGCCATTGGAAAAAATAAATACAATCGCTTTATCCAGAAAGTAGATAAATCTGTCGGGATTAGCCTGTCATGTACAGGGGAGCTTTGGAAAGATCAACAGGGGGTTATCATGATTATAAGGCAAGCCTCTATGTCAATGAAAGTTTTTTTTAAGAATTTTACTGAGATATAAAGAGAGAGAAAGAAAGAGAGAGAAACAATCCAAGAATATTAGGTATTTCATATGTGGGATAATTTAAAGAGAAATGTTGAAGAATCAAGCTGTCGAATGTAGCAGAGATAAGGAGAAATTCAGATAGTGAGAGTGAGAGAGAGAGAGAAGGAGAGAGAGAGAGAGACGGATAGGCTTACCCTGTCTAGTCCCATACATTGAAAATTATGTTTTGGAAGGGGGCAGGAATAGGACTATGGCATTCACGCTGTTCTGAGCATCTTATGAAGAAAGTCAACGTAAGAGAGAACGAGAGAGAGGTAGGCAACTGGAGTTCAGTCCAAGTCCCTGACAGACCGGTTAATTTTGGGGTATGTTATACAGTGCGTTCCAGATAAAACGAAACCGAGAATTAACGATGTTTTATCATAACTTAATTACAATTATAATTGATAAATGACACATATTTGGAAAGCTTGGATCCTCTTCTTTCATCTGATGTAACTCATAATAATGCATATTTCACGCATGAGTGATTAAAATCAATTTGAAGAGAGGAAACCTAAAAGTCGTTTGGCGGGCGGTATCTGGATTTCAAAGAGAAAATCACATTTCTAGAAAGTTGAGTTTCTGCCCTTTCATATGACACCTCATTCAGGAAAAATGAGCTAGGAATAACAAAGTTCTGTTTGTTTAAAGTAGTGCTTGCATTTCCATAATTTGATTAAACGAATTAGTTTTCACTGGCTGGCTGCCGTATCAACAAACGAAATTAACAAAAAAGTTAACTCCATTTCGTTGACAATCAGCCGTATACGAAAGACTTCATGCAGGGCTGATTGTCAACGAAACGGAGTTAAGTCTTTTGTCAATTCTGCTTTTTGCTACGGCAGGCAGCCAGTGTAAACGAATTCGTTTCCTAAGATTATGAAAATGTAAGGGCTACTTTAAACAAACAGAACTTTGTCATTCCTTGCTTATTTTTCCTAATAATCGGGCAGATTTGTATGCCACATGTTCGTATAGTCCCATATACATATTTCTGTGTTCAGTGCTTGTAATAACTGTACCAAGACTTGGCCGAATTTCTTATCATTTTCATGATTCCATGCAGAACCTTGCAGTACACACCAATACTTATATGCTAGATGATCAATCTTTTCTGACCGATTCCACAACGTTTCTTTCACAATGTAATCGCATAACCAGAACTGGTCTATACCTTTTCAAAAAATTCTAAAAACGGTTTAGGATGAGGGTTAGGTTTAGTGTTTGGTTCAGGTTTAAAGTTTGGGTTAGGGTTGGGGTAGGGTATAATAAAGTGTTTGGTCCATGATTGACGTCAGGGGTAGGGTTAAGTTTAGTGCTTGGTCCAGGATTGAGTTAGGGAAGGGGTTATTAAAGTAGAGAGTGGGTGTTTCCATTTACTGTACCACTTCTTTCTAACCTACCTGACACACTTTGAAACGATCCACTGTTTGTATTCATTTCCTTCACAGAGGCATTTTCATTAGACAGTTTCTGTAAAATGCTTTTTTGCTAGTGAATATTCATAACATTATGCAAATTATTAAGATCGCACAATTCACGAGCGCGGGCATCTTTTTGTCGCACGAAAAAAGTTCCTAAATATGACACTTTGAGCGAGAAATTTTGTTGATGAGTCAACTTTTTTATTTCTGAGGTACGCATGTTGATTTGGTAATATTAAAATGTTATGAAACTGACGAATATTTATTCTCAGGACCATGTTTTGAGGGGAAACAGGGTTGATTTTTAAGTTAAGTTAAGCAAAGGTTATCGCAGCAATTATGTTTACTGCACAACTGCTAGCCACAGCTGCTTCAGTACTTCAAAAATGTACGTGTTTACATAGCAGTAGAACTATAGGAGCACTGGCGTACCTATGGGGGGGCAGGGGGGGGCAAAGTGCCCCCCTGACGGGCTCCAGGAGAAAAAAAGAAAAAGGGGAAAGAAAAGAAAAGAAAGGAAAAGGAAAGAAAAAGAAAAAAGGAAAAGGGAAGAAAAAAGGAAAGAAAGAGAAAAAAGGGAAAAAAGGAAAGAAAAAAGGAAGAAGAAGAGAAAAGGAAGAAAAAGGGAAAAGAAAAGGAAAGGAATAAAAATGGGGAAATTAAAAAAAAAAAGACCATGGCCGTACGCACCAGGGGGGGCAGTTGACCCCAGATATTTTGAAAACGTACAGTTATTTTCCTGATAATGTAGTGCAGGCCTATACCAAATCCTTCAATTCTACTTTTGAAAATGCAAAAGTACCCTCATGACCAGTTCGGTCGCTCGAACTCCCTTCACTCCTTTTGCTTTTGAGATTCTTCGAAAACTTTTAACGCATCTTCCCCCCTCCCCCACCAGAAAAATATTCCGCATACGGCCCTGAAAAATTAAAACAAATGAAAATAGAAAAAAATAAGTGATATGACAAATTTGAAACTCTTCGCTGGCGCGAACTGCTTGCTAGCCTATTTTGTATTAAATGTTTTCACTTGCTCGTCCCCCTGAAAAAAGAAAAGGATTAGTATTGCCTAGAATACAATTGTGCCTGTCCCGACGGGCCCTGACCTGCAACCATGGCAACAATAACACACAATATATGTACAAAATGTTACTAAAAGAGACTAATTCATTTTTCTCGCTCGCTACACTCGCTCGCGAATAAAATGAATAGACATTGCTTTGGAAACAATTGTGCCCGCCCTTGGCCTGCAACAATATCATTAAAAATGGAAGAGTTTTTTCGCCCTCTCGCCAAAAAGGAATTGAATCGCGTTCAACGCAATTGCGTCCATCCTGACCTGCACCAATAAAAACAAGTTTATTTATTAATTTCTATTAAAAGAGAATTTATTTTTTTTTGCTTGCTCGCTATGCTCGCTCGCCAAAATGGAATTGACACCGCTAACGTGCCCGCCCCAACCTGCAATAACCAGTTAATAATTATGTACCAAACGTTATTCAAAGAAGTTTTGGTGTGCTCGTGCTCGCCAAAATGGAATTAACATCACCTTAGACATGATTGTGTAAGCCCTGCCCTGCAACAAAAAAATCTGAAATTTATGAACCAATTATCATTACAAAAATTTTGCTCGCTCGCCAAAATAGAAATAACACCGCTTTTAATAATCACGTCCCTGACATGGAACAATGAACCCAA